TTTCATGTCATTAGCACCTCTAGTAATATATTTACTGAGAAAAATGGTGACGTGTTCAATACTTATTTTACCTGCTGTATATACTGGTGGCTGCTACCATTATGGAAAGTTTAGTAACGTCAAAGCGTGCTATTTACTTGTTAGGTTAAAAATACAAAGTGGAACTAAAATGCTGTTGCTAAGATTTTCTGAGTGTCATGTCTGGCCATGTGGAACGAACAAAGTATTTTTGTAGTTCCCTATCTGCTGCAGGAGCGGCCCCGTTTCCCATGTCAAGAAAAAGATTAATATTTTTGACAAACTAACTTGACAAGAAGTTATTGTAGTTTACAAAACCTCTGCCAAACAAGATTTGGCCTAAAACTGGATGGGTGTTAAATTTCACTTGTTAGAGTGGATGCAATGTCAGTAGTATCAAATAAGCTTTATTTAATAAAGTCTGAGAAAGCTGAGCTTCTGCTCCTCAATTTGCAGGTTGATGAAGGTGGATCAAAAAGATTCTTCCAGAACATGTGGACGTCTTTCCTCAAGGCTCGGCTCGTCTGCGGGTTCCCCGACGAGTCCCTGTACTTCAATCGCCTCCAGGACATCTTCGTAATGCATGCTGATGATTGGCACGATACAAGGATCTACGCGCTGTTCTCAAGCAGCTGGTGCGATCATTTTCTCTCCCTTTATTTGTCAAACAAAACAACAACACAAGGAACAAACTGACAGTATCGAAGCAGTGTCAAAATTTTGCTCAAGCTTGATGAATGTGATAATCCCTCAATAGTGCTGTTGCAACAAAGCCGTCCTGACCACATCAGTTACTGAGACAATAACAGATAAAATACTGCAATCATGGTGGCATGTGGAGAATGCTAAGCTCATTTTTTCTGTTCTCTTCAGGAACTCAACCGCAGTTTGCATCTATTCAATAGGAATGATTGAGGAAATCTTTGAGAATTCAACTTTCAGGGGCTACGACAAAGAGATACCAAACCCAAGACCAGGATCGGTGAGGTTATGTTGTGTTGCTAAGTTTATTTGCAGAGACAGAACTTCCTTAAATTGTTCTATTTCTTCACGTGTATTTTTTTTTTTATTTGTGCTCGGTTTGAGCCACTTGGTCCATGTAACAACCCAGAATTGTTAGATTGAAAACATGTTACATAAACGGGTGGAAACATGGAACATGTGAGTCTGAATTACTTGATTTGGTTCATTTGTTCCATAGAGTTGTTTGAAAGTTTTATGGTTGTACATGAGGTTTGTTTGCTCCTCCCAAGTTGCTGTGGAGATTATAATAACATTTTTTAAACCTTCCTGTCATTGTAGCTGTAGACCATTATAATGATGTGCAAATGCTGTCTTGGTATCTATTTCAAATAACCCCTGCTTGCCATCTGTTCAGTGCATTCCTTTCATAGAGCCTCATTTATTTACAGACTGGTTCCTTTTAAAACATACAGTATAGAAAATACCCCAATAAACCCAGCCCACTCATTCAGACTAAACTCCACTGCTGCTCTCTTCTGACCAAGTGTGTGTTTTATCTTTGCTAGTTGGTTTTTCCATTTTTTCAAAACAGGAATTTTGACAAAATGACTTACCGGTAAATTTGAAATTATACCAACTCTGCACCATCCAATCACAAAAAAGTTACTGTTCTACCTGTTAGTTGGGCATTTATAGAAATGGACAGTGTGTTTCTGTTAATAATACAGAATTCTTATCAGCATCATAAATATAATAAAAGTACGCCTGGCAGCTGTTTGTTCATTTGATTCTTTGTTTTTCCACTGCTATAGTACACGTTGCTAGGGTTACTTTTTATTTTGTATTTTTTACTTTTCTCATCAGTTTTTCTTTTCTGTCATCAGTTTCTTTTACCCACTTCTCCTTTCTGGGTTGCAGGGGAGCTTGTGTCTGCCTCCAGCAGTCACTGGCCCTTTTCCACTATTGCTACAGCACAGCTCAATATGGCTCTCCATGGTTCCAAGGCTTTTCCATCAGCAAGGATTAATAGAACCAGTTCCTTTTTCAGAACCTACCTTGCTGTGATTCTAAGGGTACCATGCAGGCCTGAAAACGTGATGTCAGAAGACTGTCTGACTGATTGGGGTGGGGTGGGGGTGGGGGGGGGTCACTGGTTGCATTACAACAACCCGATCCACTATTTGCAGTTACAACACCACCATGCCCTCCATTGTTGTGTTGCTTATCTTTTCGGGGTCTTCTTCTTCTACTATGTTTAATGGTGGCTGCCAAATAGCTTAATGAAACATAACCAACAGCAGCTGGTAAGGCGCGTGGCGTCAATTTTCAAACTCTGGTACGGCCCAACTTTACAATGAATCCATCCACTAAAGCTGTTACAGAAGTGTAATGGAAAACTACCCGAACCGTGCTGAACAGAGTTCAGCCAAGTCGAACCGTGCTGTAGAGGCGCTGGTGGAAAAGTGGCAATATGAGATGGGGTTCACCCTGGACAGATCACAAGTTCGTCACAGGGCAACGTGTAAAGACAAATGAGACAATCAGGATGAAGCTACTTAAAGTGATCAAAGACTAAGTTCCATTATTTCTATTTTTCTGGTAGTATTTGATTAAATTATGTTTGGGACCAATGGAATCCTAAAATCCTTTGGGAGTTTCCTCAACTTTTTTTGTAAAAATATTTAGATTTACGTGAATGGGTAGAAGAAGTGAACTGTCATTTCCAAGGTGTTTTTTTTACCAACTTAAAATCCCAAACACTTGCTAACAGGTTTCCTGTCAGAGTTGTTTTATATTTGTTGGCATCCATGTTTAAAACTTGTTTCTTCATCTTGCTTGACCATACTATGAGGAGAAGCTTGTATCCTGGTGTTTCCTTCACATGTTGCCAAAGAGTTCAATCTTAAAGTAGATCAAAGACATTTCTTTACCAAAGTCTGAGACTCATTTAGGTGCCTTTTGACAAAAATAAATAAACCTTTGTGTGTTTGTGTTCTTTTCAGTGTGTACAGAACAGCAAGAGTTTGCCCCGAGCCACTGTGAACGTAGTGAAAGATCACCCCGAAATGACTGACTGGGTCCACTCCCTGCATTACAAAGCTCCATTCTATATAAGCAACAACAATTACACAAAGATAGTCGTGGACCGAGTAGAAGCAGCCGACCAGCAAGTGTACAACATTCTGCTCTTAGCCACCGGTGAGTTGGGACTGCGAGATATCACACAAACCCTGTGGACAATGTTCAGATCTTGGCCGTTTGCCCTTTTGTTCTGTTGGCCTGGCTTGTTGATGTGCATTGTTTACAGCCCCTGCTTAAAACAATTGGCTAAAAATACACAACCTTCAGAATAACAACACATCAATTGGTGTTCCAACAGATTCTGGGAAGATCCACAAAGTCCTCGAGGCGGGGTCAGAGCCTTTTATCATATCTGAAGCACAACTCTCAACCAACTCAGCCATACAAGCAATGAAACTTAACTCTAAAAAGGTATGCTGCTTAAACTGCACTTTCAAAATATTAAAAATTGAGCATTGTAAGTCCAACTTTATATATATWTTTTCAATGTAATATACAGTCTGTTTAGTTGTTCCCTAACAGTTGTTTAACAGTGAGTTGAACGTGTAAAATATGAAACCTGAAAGGTGTTGCTTCAAAGAACTTGTCTCCCTCGGCTCTGCACAGCATCAGCCTCTTTTATCTCTGTTTTCTGCGACCTTGCCAGTTATCTCTGCACCTTGTAGCTGTTTCCAGCTCAGACATTGCTGTGCACTGATAGGCACAAACAGAAGATATTAGTTCACAAAGGTGCAAAGTCCCATGTATCTTCTGTTGTAGCAGCAGCAACAGATTGTGTCAAGATCTCAGATAATTCAGGAGACAAGATCATTAGAAGTAGCCAGGAAAAGATAGATTGCCTGACAAACAATAAGCAGCTGTAGGAGGAATTTGCAAGGACACAAACACAAAGATAATGAACTTCAGCAAAATCCTTTCCACTGCGTCTCTCTCAGGAGCAGCTTAAGAGTAACAGTGAAATATAAAAATTGTTGTGAATTTTACTTTACAGCTTCATATTTTTGAATGTGCAAAAAAAAATTGTCTCTTGTTTCTTCAGAAAACATTAGTCGTGGGTTTTGCTGAGAAAATATCTACTGTGGATCTTCAGAAATGTGACGTGTACGCCAGCTCTTGTGCAGAATGTGTCCTGGCCCGAGATCCGTATTGCGCCTGGACGTCATCTGGATGCAACCACAATGTCTCGTAAGTGAGCCATTCATGGCAAAGCTCTTTGACACACATTTTATTTTAATGTTTATAGTTTACAGTTTATTGACTATTGTTATTTGTTCTTATTTATTCCTATTTTGTTACCAGACGAATATTTAATGGGGGCATTGGGAATTTTCCAGGCACATAGTTTAATTCTACACCACTATCAAGTAACTGTTGCCTTCAGTTGTTATAAAAAGGATGTATTTATCAAAAATAAATTAGACTTTGCATCATAGCTTATCTGAACATCATGTAATTGGTCTCTCTCTTTAAGAACCTCCTACCATTTTCCACATTCCCACTTCAGCATGTCTTCTCAACAAGGGGTGCTCTGTAAGGCAGGAGCTCAGCTGCAGACTGAGCTCCAGGAGGAGCTTTGTGTAAATAGGCGGTGCTTTGTACCAGCAAGCATTAAGGCATCTCCACATGTCTACCCCAGGAGATTCAAGGATTTATCAAACATGCATGAATGAGTCAAAGCAACCTGCTGGGTATGTTTTTAATGAGGGGAATATGATAAAAGCTCAAAACAGTTAATTTTGCACAATAACCTCATTTAAAAGGTCCCACTTATTGGCATCAAAATATGACCAATCAGGGCATGGATGAAGAAAATCTTGGAGTCAAAGAGCTTGTCTGGCACTGAAAATTAGCACTGAAGGCATCCTTTAGGTGTTGCGGATTGTTGGGTGGGGCGCTGTTTTCCTTAAAATGAACCATATCTCAGATTTTGAGGTTGTTGGAGGGACAAATGAAGTCCTTGGTCAACTGCTGTTTTCCTGTTTGGGTATTTTCTTTAAAAGTCACGTGATGAAACTCGTTTTGTTTTGTTCACAGTGGGGGCATTCAGAATATCATGACTGGAGAAACAAGTGTGTGCTCTGAAGCAGAAGGTAACTAATGACAAAATATTTCAAACCATACAAAGAAGCATTTTGGTTTACTCTACATTAACACTTTTTTATCTCCTCTTCTATTTTAGAAGCTAAGGCAGGAAACAGGTCCAAGAGGCAGACAGATTCACAGATGGATTCAAGGACTGTTCATTCAGTATCGAATGGCGTCCCTTTCTACCTGTCCTGTCCGATAGACTCCTATCACGCCACGTACACCTGGGAGCACGAAGGACGCAGCAGTCCCTGTCTGCAGATGCATTCTGACTGTCTGCACCTCATCCCATCCATGGCATGGAAACACTACGGCGACTATGATTGTGTTTCCAGAGAGAAAGACTTCACCAAAGTCGTGAAACGATACAAGCTTATCGAGCAGAAACTTCCTGATGAAAACAAAGGCTCTGAATGGAGATTCAATGACTTATTGACCAACGCATCAGGCCCTGCCCAGCATTCGTTATGGATTCTACTACAGAATATAGTGATGTGGGGAGTTTTTAGATAAGTTGTGCACTTTTTGTTGCTAGTGAGGTGAGAAATGAGGCGGCAATATTTAAAGCAACAATTCCCTTTAAAACCTGTAAAACAGCACCYGTCCTGTTGTGAACTTGCTTCAAAGAAAAACATCCACAGGAACCCATGGGCCAAACAGGACCAAGGTTGAAAGACTTAAAAAAACAAACAAAGAAAACAGGATACCAGCAAAGCATGCACAAAGTGGTGAGAGGCATGCCGATGCTGTAAGCTTTCTACTGCGAAGTACAAAAATGTAATTCAGTTAGTAGAATGGGTGTAAAGGGGAGATCGCATGATGCTAAATGACTTGAACATCCTCTAAAACTATTAAATGTTAAAAGTTTGAGCTTAAAAGCTCTCAAGCAGCTGTAGACACAGGAATGGGTAATGTAAGTGCACTGTAGGGCCTTCCTTGTCCTAGAGCTCAGCTCAGCTAAGATACCAGAAAAATCCAAAGTCCTTCTGTGGATTTCTTTGTGTTCCATCCAGTCACATGGTTGTGGGATGTTGTAGGCAAGAGAACTGACCTGGCTTTTTTTCAGCAACTCTTGTAATGGTCAAAGAAGCAGCCACAGCATAAACAGAGCATATGTTTTCCTCATCCAGCAGCTTAAACATTGATCTTTGTCTGAAGTTTTCTGTGACTTGCTCTTACAGCTTGTTGTAGAGTCAGTTATCCAAAACACAACAAGCTAAAACTTAAAACAGGCAACTGGACTAATCTTCTAAAAGTCCATCTGCCTCTTTTAATCTTAAAATTACTGTTACGACATAAAAAACATAGTGCAATAGTTTTGTTAAACTGTATTTATGTTTGTATAGAGTTATACTGTATAGCTTTTGAAAAGCCAAATGTAAGCTATTTGTTATGTTGAGACCACAGACTCAACTAGATTTAGACCAATTAGTGGCCTTGAACCATTTTAAGTGATTTTAGCTAAGTTATTGTGCAATATCCGATTGTAACACTGCTCATAACAGTTAATAATTTGTGTTATCGACAGTTAATTTACGTTATCAAATATTATTTATATGGTAGATGCTTGAATAAAAGTTTTTTGGAATCATTCTGTTGGGTGTGACCTTCACCAGAAAGGGAAGTTTCACTTTTATTACCTAAACAAATTATGTTAGGTTTCCCAGGTGAGATGTATTCGGGGATTCATTTATTATCGAACCAGGTCATCTGTTTTTTTAAAGAGCATTTTCTCTGCAGTCACACTTGTTTTGTGATTCAGTGAGCTTTTGTCCCATCATTAATGCAACATGAGTGGCAGCAAAGAGCTAAAGAAAGGGTACAAGAGAGCAGCGAGACCATTTGTGTTGTATGGTGTGGAGACGTTGGCAAAAAGACAGAGGAAGTGTAGGAGCTGACAGTGAAGAGGTTCTTGGAAACRACAAGGATTAATATGAATGAGATCACAGGTACAGCACAGGTTGAGGGACTGGAAGATAAAGTTAGACTGTGATGGTTTGGACATTTCCAGAGGAGGGACAGTGGGTATACTGGTAGGATGTTAGAAATGCAGAGGAGATACAGGAGATGCAGTTAGAGGACATGGAGGAGAGAGGACAGATGACTTGGGGTGGAGACCTGTTAAAAGGTAACAGCCGAAAGAAAAATACATTTTTGGRGGTACATATAGAAAACATGACTTCTTGAAAACAGTAGTGATCAATGCTGCAATCCAAATAAAGTTGATTTTATTTAAAATGTTATTACAATTTTCTTTAATTTGAGTAACATGGATCTAAAGCCTCCCAAAAAACTGCTTTTTTAAGGTAGAAACTAACCAGCATGTTTGAATAGACCTGTTACCACTGGAAGCTTTTTGTATTAAATTCAAAGGAACATATTTTTCTAACACTATTAATCCTCCTCAGTTTGAACATTTTATAATAAAAAAAAATAGTTAAAATTATTTGTACATGTATTTTGAC